ATGAAAGATACTTTTCTTACAGATTAATAACTCACCACTCTGAAACTCCAGCCCATGTTGCTAAGCTGGTAAGGGGAACCTGTACAGCTGAACTGAAGCTGTTTACCGGCTTCTGATTGGCTAGTATAATAGAAGATAACTTTATTGTCACATACATGTTGCGACAGAACTTAGTCCTCTCAAGACCTTCAGCCACTGAACATTTAACGTTGTTGTTGTCTTCTCCTGTCTGTGTTAAGAAAATGTTGCCAGGTGTAAAACACTAACATACCTCAGGAGCTTATAGACTTTCAGGACAATAGGCTACAAATTAACTGCATTTCAGTTAACACTGCACTCAATTTCTTTCTCTCATTTTCACTAAAACATGTGTATGGATGAGAGTTGATGACAGTAACAGTACAGTTTATTCCCCTCCTTTATAACAATTTCCCCTGGCGGATAAAAGTTAATATTCCTCTTATATTAATAATACTTACATAGTTGTTGAAGTAAATAAATATTAAAAATCAACTTAAGTCATTACTAGTGTTATGAAATTAATTAATGCATAATAATCGTAGTAATCATGAAACCGTGATTATTTCTCTGACAATCATACCAACAAAATCTGTAATCGTTGCATCCCTACTTAGGTGTGAGTGTGACTGGTTGTTTGTCTATGTGTGGCCCTGCGATGGATTGGCGACCTATCCAGGATGTACCCCGCCTTTCGCCCGATGTCAGCTGGGATTGGCTCCAGCCCCCCGCGACCCTGTACGCAGGATAAGCGGTTGACGATGGATGGATGGATGCGCGCGCATGTGTAACTCCCAACAAAGATCATGTAGAGGCAAGATGCATCACTCCATAGCTAAAACAAAGCCTTCAACACACAAGATGAAAAGAGGAGCTATGACAAAAATATGGTGTTTTTGAAAATGACACCAAGTAAACCTGTTCTGGTACAACCCCTAAATAAGATTTTGAACCTGAAAATGAGCATAATATGACCTCTTTAATCTCCAGATTATCAGCCAATCTCACCAATCTCAACCTTCCACACACACAGACACACGTCTAAGCATAATGGGATGGTTTATCCTGGGGTGCAATTGGAGAGGACGTGCTGCCAAAACAGACAAGAATAATGATAGCGTGTGTGTCTGTGCACCGCGCCTAAAGAGACAAAACTAAGTATCAGAGCAGTATAATAGAGTGTGTGTGTCTGTTTGCAATGTGTGTGTGAGTGAGAGAGAACAAAGACACGCACATACACACACGCACAACATCACGTTTGTGGACTGCCGTTTTGAAGCCTCGAGTTTGTCTGATTTTTTGCAACCAGCTGCACCGGACATGACCATATTTGGAAGAGACTGTGGAGCCAACGGCTCCGTGTGGAGCTAGCTAGCTTGCTTAGCTAGGTGCATCTGTAATTTATTGCATCATTTTAACCGAGATGATAATTTTGTCTAGCGAACAACAGGCTTAAAACAAAACGTATTCACCGAAGAAAATAAACAGCCAACTCCTAATAAGCTTTTTCAACGGCGCTGGTTAAATTTACAGTGGGTACGACTCTAGCCAGATTGACAGGTCGGCATGGTAAAGACTTGTCAATCACAGATAATCCTGCCCTGAATCATACTCTGCTTTATGGTCTATTTTCGTCTAAATGGGACCATAATTTACTAAATGAACATCATGCTGTATTGAAGAAGATATGAAACTAGCGATTGAGACTGTAAACTCATTATGATTAAGTGTTTACTGAGGTAATAAATCAGGTGAGAAGCAGGGTCATTTTACCATTATTTCTAGAGGTGAAAAACCAGACTTCTTTTTGCACCCAGAGGAGTCGCCCCCTGCTGGCCGTTCGATAGAATGCGGGACTTCCGCATTCGCTTCACTTCTCGGACCGGAAGCTTCCCGCTTGAGCGAGACCTATATTTTTTACTTTTTAAGCTAGAAAAAAAGGTGTGTGTGTGTGAGAGAGAGACAGAGACAATGAACTCACACCACTGCACATTCCTTACATGGCTCAAATAACTTTCCTCATAAATCTGTGTGTGTGTGTGTGTGTGTGTGTGTGTGTGTTCTCAAATGTCTATAAGTGTGTGTTCTTACTCCAGCCCACACTAAGTGCATCATTCTGAAGCCCTGGAATTAGCCAGACACCTAAAAAAAACCAATAATTGCTACTTCACCTACATGATGCCCACCCTGTGGCAGTGCAGTTACAGGAAGACATTTCCCATCAGCCCCTGGGGCTGTTAGCAAGACTCACATTCTACTGCTTTTTACATATTGTGTACTTACTCAGGTACCAAAGAAGAGAAAAGGGAGAAAGAGCTTATTGGGCTAAGAAAGGACCTAAAATGTTTGTGTAAGCACAGGGGCACACACACACACACACACACACAGAGGAAAAATGTCAATGGAAATATACAAACACACACCAAAATACCTGATCACAAACACACACACACGCTGAGAAACATGCATGTGCATCTACACAGGAAACACTTATAGTGGTGCATTCACTGAAACACATTCTAAATACACACAAATGCACACGTTAACCCACACACGAAGAAACATACATGTTCATACAGACACGCACACAAAGTAAAACGGAAACATACTGAATTATATAAATACACTGAAAGAGACAAAAGTGCGCCCACACAGAAAAGCATGCAAAAAGAAAAACAAAGAGATGTGCACGTGTAGAAATATACACACACGCACACACACACACACACACACACAGGCATGTACACACCTCTCCGATCAATAAAACATTGCACAAGTTGGAGTTACATAAACGGGAGAGAAAGAGAGAGATATCAAGCTGCTGGCCTGGTTGTCAATAGCAACAGTGTTTTGGAGGCTGATCGTCAGTCAGGTCTGCTGCAAAAGCATGGTGGGATATCACACCACAGATGTGGATTTTCTTTGTTCATACTACTATCTTATAATACAGTTTGACTCTTCATAAATTTGAGGCACTCACAAGAGACAATTTAAAAACTGAACGGTCAAAATCAAAGCAGCAGAGGCCGACAGCTTTCTGCTATAAATGTGTAGTCTCCGAGCCCAAGTCGAGATAACCCCTAATGACATCATCAGGGGTTACTTTATAAGACTTTGGAAGGCATTACACAACTATCGTTACAGGCTGAGAGGTTCTCTTCATGACTAATAGTATATATATGTGTGATCACGCTTGCAAGACGTGTTTGTCTTGTTTCACACAGAGCTTTCACTCTGACTTCTGCTCACACTCTTCTTCTCCAACGGGAAGTTTCCAACCAATCACTGACACTGCAGTTCCATCACATGGCACTTTAACTTCTCAAACTGAAACCACATCTCAGAACTTTCCTCTGCCAGGAGACAACTCACTTCAACGTGCGTTTTCTCATCTGTTGGTCCCAGGAGAAAGAGCGCCAGCGTGTGCACTTGAGTGTGTGCACACATATGCGCAGTACACGCTGTCATGTTCCTACTATACGCAACATAATGCATAGACAGATCAATACAAGCCCTGCTATATGGCCCGCAGGCATGGAGTGGGGAGGGGGGTTCAGGATAATTACTTTGTCCTGTGGGGGTGTATCACTCTCACAGCCAACAGCCTAGATCTGAATGTGGGTCAATACACACACCCTCACACACACACACACACACACACACACACACACACACACACAAATGAGCTGGCTGTTGTTCCAGATGAAGGATGGTGGAAGTAAATTCAGGTCAAACAGGAAGTGGTAAAGAGCCTAAATGCACTACAGACACTTCACCACAGAAATGGATGATATGTGCTCAATATAACTGGTTACCATCTGCTAGATACAGTGATGATATGATGCTGTTGATATATCATGACTGACAACTGCACTGCGAACACCAACCATCCATCCCCTACAGGTAATTTACAAGCAGGATGTGCACTGTTGTGTCCCACCCCCAAGTCACAACAGCATCTTAATGGAACTGACAAAAACTTGGAGGGAAAATCAACAGTCATTTTAAATTCATGAACACAAATCCAACTTCCAAAGGAGGGCATAACAACAAGCGAAGGGATGCTCTCAAGCCAGCAGAAATGCCTGCAGCTCTATGACTTCAATGTGGCACGAGCTAAAACTACAAGCACTCCCATCAACCACAAAGCCAATGTTTATTTATTTATATGGAGTCACAATAAGAAAGGTCAAGTGAAAACACAGCTCTTTTCTATATGCAGACGCTTGAGGTAATCTTTCACTGTGAGTAATGCACCTTTGCTGCTTTAAAGTGAAAGAAAAATCTCACTGCGTTTCCAAAATACATGTAAATGTACAGACTGGTGTGAGTATGAGCATGAATCTGTGGTTGTAGGCTACAGACACACAAACTTTATTGTTAATAAAATATAGTATAGTGTTAAGATATTTATTTTACAGTAGGTTTATGCCATTTGGAGATCTATCAATGACATTCCTGCATTACATGGTGTTAACTGCTTGACCAGAAATCAGACCAGTAGAGCAGGATTGTTGTTCTCTTAACTTCAATCAACAGTGTGATATTTTAAGGTGGCATTTCAGTTATATTCCTGCATTTTGCTTTTATTCTTCTGTATTAATATCCTTCTAAAATTTGCATTAGGGTTCCTGTCGCTGGGAGGGAAGCCTGACTGCCAACACAAAGCCTACTCTATGTAAACAAAACAAAATATTTGCATCTGAAATAACGAAATAAGAGATTGCATGTGTCAAATATGTGGGAGGCGTCAACATAACAGCCATAATTGCAAATGGTTACACGGAAGGTAGCTGTAAAATATGAAATATAGCTAGAGTCTGTCTGGTTGAATTATTCTTCAGCTGCCGTTTCCTCTGTGCTGTCATTCCCACACTGCACTGTTCAGACTTCGTCCTAAGCGGCCGGACGAAATGTAACGTCACAGAGTCTATTGTCGGACAGACTGTGTCTTTTCCACAAGTGACATTTGTCAAATTTACCTGAAAATGGTGAATTCCGTCGTTTCAAACCGACTCTCCGGAGCAGCCGGGCCCGGATGCCCTCCTCCGCTTTATCCGCCCACTGAAGAAACGTTAGCAGCTCAGTCTGCTCGTTTCGATTCCAAACGCTCCGACAGAGGAGAAATACCCTCCGAAACACACAGAGAGATATGAGGGGTGCGAGGACGGAGGGCTAGAGACCGAACCCCCAAAATGTCGTTTGTGTGGCGGTGAAAGCAGTTTAAAGAGGCTGGAGGAGGATCTGTCTGCTGTCGACACAGGAGACGGGAGGGGTGCAAACTAGTTGTGCATCAAGTGCCACACAGTGGTCAACAATGGGACTTCCTGTAAGGTTTCAAAATAAAAGTACTCTCAACGACCATGTGTCGTCTTCTTTCACAACTTTCAAAGTAAAAGCGATAATACTTGTTTCACAGTGTCCGGTCACCGTATACAAAATAAAAGTGGCAAAATAACTAATTTAATTCTATAATGTCTAGATAGCCTAGATAAATACTTATATACATACATGCATACATACATTCTCAAGGTTATGTTTTCACATTTTTTATCATATGACATTTAACAGTATATCCATTTTAATATGAAACTCAACTTGGTTCTGCTCTATTGTTAGCAAACTGTCAGCTTGACGAAGCTGAGAGAACTTAAGGAAATGCAGATAAACGAAACAATGGTAGTCTATCCTTATATGAATAGCTTTCCTTTCCGCTGTTTTTATGTGTTGCAACACTGTGGATTTTCAGCGGTCAAACATTGCAACACTGTAGTAATGTTTCAAAATGCAGTTTATACCCTGTGCCAGTCACTTCAATTAAATATTGAACATAGACAGTTAATTAAGGCAATAAAACAATTGAAACACAATAAGCAGTTTTCATCTTGTTAAAAAAAAAAGTAATATTCAGGGTATTACCAAAAAGGTTAAACATTTTCTGTCATGTTACACAAAATTTCTTTTAAAATGATTAATTCCTTGGAATTAGTAGATGATTTTTTTTTTTACAATAATATTATAAGATTAACCATAGATATGTGTATGAAAAGATTAACAATAAAATAATTTTTTTCTTAATTTCATGTTGAAAAAATGGTTGCGTCATCACAAAGTTGGGGATATTTTCATTTCTGCTTTGATTAATTTTAAAGGCATGAATAAATAACATCAATAGTCATAATTTGTGTGATATGAAGAAACACTAAAATGAGATATAAATTGGACAGGCACTTTAAACACAACCAGTATTGAGTTAAATGTTTGGTCGTGTAGCGCCACCTGTTGGATAAAAGCTGCAGTGACCGTAATTAATTAAATCCTGAACATTGGTAATACAGGTTGGAGTCTGATAACGAGTGTACCTCGACAGTATAATACATGTAGCCCTAGTTACTGGGGAACAAGATGTGAAGTTATGGAATAAGGAGGTAACAATTTTGGATCTTACAAAGCACACATTTTGTAGTTATTATTTATATAAGTACTAGATACCTATTCTACTATTACAGAGTGAGCAAAAAGATGGGGTGCTGACTTCTGCATCACTTGATCTGATGTGATTTTATTTTAAAATGGTGCAATTACCAACAAACCTGCAAACTACATTGTTCTTTTCTAATTCTGGAGTGGTCACAGAGGTCCAGGGGGACAATGTGTTGTCATGGATGCTGTCGGCCTCTGAAGACTGCCTCAGTAGTCATTCACCTCACCAGCAAACTTCATTACTGGATACTTGTTTATTGCTTTGTATGACACACACTGTGTCTACATGCTGACAGTTTTGAAGCTGTTAAAATGTCTTCCCTGTAGAGCAATGTAGTTTGTTGGTAATACAATACTTTTGAAATAAAATCACATCAGATGTAGGCTATTAAGTGATGCAGAAGTCATTACTTTGTGATTTGGGTGAACTAGCCCTTTAACATAAATTATGGTGCTTCAACTGCAGTGGTATAGCTACATGAAGGTCTTGCATTGTTGGTATAGGCCTATCTGTCTATATCAGCAGGCCTATTTATTTAAATCCTATTAATGCATTACTGTCAGAGTGGGCACCGCTGTGTCACCTGCCATTATCACCAACACCGGAGCTCCCCAAGGCTGATGAGTCCCTTCCTGTATTGCCTCTATATTAATGACTGTCTCTGCCCCTCCCCCATTACACAGTATTTCAAATATTCAAATAACACAGTCATACATGCACTTCTCAAGGACAGTAACTCATATCAATCTTTCCATTTCACTCAGTGGACTACAGGGAAGAGCCTACTACTGAATGTCCCCAACTCCTCACTGAAACCTGCAATAAACCCAGTACCCCCACTGCCACTCAATTCATTGAGAAACGGGTCAGAATTGCCAGTCTTTGGTGACATTCAGGACAGAATTCATGTCTGTATTGTACACATGACCATGCATTGGAGCAATGTCCACAACTGAGGAAAAAGACACATGTGGACAAGTTAAACTTTTACTTTTTGCTTTGGTTGTTTAATGCACTGGGCTTTTAAGCAAGAACTACGACAGGCGCATTACTTGCAGACACTGCAACCAAACTCATCCCAGCATTTTGCATATTGCAAAAAAGGAAAAAGCTGTCCAAGGAGATACAGAACAGGCCAAAAAAGAGTTGAGCGAAGCCTTAGCATTGTTAAACCAGGATCACATTGAAAGATACTTGTCGCAAAAAGAAATTAAATGGAGTTTTAACCCACCTGCTGGATCACATCATGGTGGCGTTTGGGAGCGCATAATACGGATGATCCAGAAGGGTTTTGAGTTCAGTGCTTTGTCAACAAAGTTTGGATGACGAAGGATTTCATACAGTCCTCTGCGAGGTCAAAGCAATGCTGAACGACCGGCCCATCACTAAATTATCTGAAGATCCAAACGACCTAGAGGCATTGACTCCTAACCACTTGCTTCTACTGAAAGGGAAACCAATTCTACCACCAGGACTTTTTGAAAGAAGTGATCTGTATGCAAGGAGAAGATGGAAACAGGTCCAATATATTGCTGATCTCCTCTGGAAAAGATGGACTCGGATTATTGTGCTCCGATTATGTTGTTTATTCTACTTTATATTACGTAGTTTTCATTGTAAGTGGACGCAGGAAATAAACGCCTTAAAACTGCAAACTTTGGGAAAAGACTGGACATTGTTTTTCAGGTACACGTTAGAAACATGTTACCTTACCATGCTCACTGTCCATCCATCCATCCATCCATCCATCGTCAACCGCTTATCCTGCGTACAGGGTCGCTGGGGGCTGGAGCCAATCCCAGCTGACATTGGGCGAAAGGCGGGGTACACTGTGGACAGGTCGCCAGTCCATCGCAGGATGCTCACTGTCACAAACAGGGAATAACTTAAAATCACAGTCAAGTCAGGCAAGCTGCTGCTCTGTCTCTTGGCTTGCTGTGGTGCTGAGGTTAATGATTGAGATGCAATTTGACCAATGTTTGCATGAAGGACATGTAGGCCTACATGACCGACCACGGGTGGCGTGCGAGAAACAGCCACCTAAAGAGAAAAGTCAAATAAATGCAAAAACTCAAAATGAATGCTACAAAGTGGTTCAGCAGTATCAGTGTACAGTGGATAGCTGTTATTTCAGGTGCCTTAAATGAGAAAAACAACATGGGCTGAGCCCTGAATGTTTACAATGTCTGCCTCTGCCCCTCAGTAAGAACTTCTGCCCTCTGCCTTCACTGCCCTTAATAAACTGTAGCAATAACACTCAAGTTGAGGCATGTTATGTGAATGTACTTTTATGTTGGATCACTGTTCCTTAACTGTTCATGTACAGATATGTGAAAACAAATTTCCTCTAATGGGGGACAAAAAAAATATCTACCTATAGAAGAAATATAATTTAGCTTTTTCCTCAGAATGGCAAGGATGTACAGCCTACACTATTGGCAGAGCCCGGGGTGGGTGAGACCGCGGGTGTGCTGTCATTGCTGCACTTTGCCACAGTCAGACTTACTGCACAGGTTTCCGTGTTCACACTGGGATCACACCAGAATACAACAAGCTGACTGGAAAATGTCGCGGGCTGCTGAAAGACTCCGGCTGCTGGTCAGTCATCTTGATCGATCACCCGCTGCGATCGTATCCTTTTATTTTGCTTTGATTATAGCCTATACTGAATCATCCTTTATGTTTGATGCTTGTTTGTTTGTTTTTCTATGCTGTATTTCTATTTAAATTGTAATTGGTGTGCCGTCTTGGCGAGGTGTCCCTCGGAAAAGCGATTAAGGGACTTCATGGTTAAATAAAGGTTAAATAAATTTAAAAAAAAATCATCGAGGGTCCACGAACAGCGGAACAGGCTGATCCTCTAGCCGACATCGGCACAACTAGCGGCAGACAGCGCTGATGGGCAATGCCGGTGTCCCACAGGCCTCCGGGGAAATGAGTAGGAATAATTTAAAGCTATTATTATTTAAAAATGCTTATTTGGTTCTTGCACTCTTAAGCACAGTAACATTATAAGCTAACACTGTTATTTTGAATTCAGCCAGCCGCCATTGTTTATGTAACGGGGCCCGTGTCAAAGCGTTTTCTGACGCCAACGTCTTTTTTCAATTCATTCCAATGGGAGCGCCGCGTTTTTCCAAGCTGGTAAAAACGCCAGGAGCTTGACGAGGCGCTGAGCGTTTTTTTCCGGTCGCCGAGAGTTGAAAAATGTTCAACTTTGGGAAAAACGCTGCGCTCGTCACTGTCACTTTTTACCCAGCCGTCCAATCACAGTGCAGGGGGGACGGGACAAACACCGCACCGAGCACATCCGATCTTGAACGAAACGATGTGCCTACTCGCCGAGGTGTTGCCTCACCCGCAAAATCTCATGAACCCACGTACGGACAGTCTGTGCTCTCATGTTTCAGCCTTCTCTTCACGCAAAGCAAAGGCCAGAGCAAGCAGGCCTACGTACTTTGTGGTGACATTTAGCCTAGTTCGGTAAAGTTGGAAATATATTCACAGATTCGAACTTCCGGGATCAATAAGTCGTAAGCAAAACGTTTTTAAAAAACAAACAACGCCTTTTACTATCGTAGTTAAGTAGACAACAAGCTGCAAGTACATCTTCACCGAAATGAGTCGTCCTACGAGCGGCACAAATAACATTGGTCTCTACGTGCAGCCGGCTGTGAGACGAGAGCGCAGGGACCGTCTACAAATTGCAACGCCGAAAACACATGCTGCATAAATATTCAATAACTTACCACTTACACAATGTAGTGCCCCCAGAATCACCTTACACATTCATGATATACTGCTGGCTATACTACGACACTTAGTTTCGGGAAGAAAGACGTCTGTTTTCAGGTCATTTGAAAGTGACAGCCTATTAGCATATGCATGTTATCAAATTACGTTATAAATTACTGCTTTTTTATTTCTACTACTTTTCTCAATCTTAACGGTCTTTCGGGTTGTTATGGTCTCGTTTTCTTGACTGATTTTCTTCAGAGAGCTACATCAACCTCTGCTCAAAGCCTCACCTACAGTCACCCACAGAGACTGAGGTAATGTTAGGTACACCTTTAGTTTTAGAGGACATTGTAACTCCACCACAGCATATGACAGCCTCAACAGTTGTGTCTGGCTAAGTTATTTTCTATCCACAATTCACCTTTTGACTCGAACCCTGATCTGGGGGTGCATTATGTTTCATTTATTGAGAAGACAACAACCAAACAAGCCCAGTTGTTAAGCTAGATTAGGGGGGCTCATGTTTCAGGTCAGAAAGCAGCTTTTTGTTAGGCTAAGTAAAAAGATTAATGTTGCAAAAAAAAGTCTCACATGTCCTACTTGTTAGCACCACTAGGAGGTAGTGACTTTTTTTCTTAGCCAGCAACGGGAATTTACTGTACATCCAGTATGATTTGAATGCAACATATCATATCATTTGTCATTCATTTCCCTCTACAGTACCCTTTACTTCAAACTAAACATTAAAGTAAATAAAAAATGGTGATATTGTTGTGTATTTTTAAAAAAAAATTTTTTTGGTAGATACACTTTTGATACTGACCTGCTGACCCCAGAACAGCGACTCTCCTATGAGGAAAATGGCTTCATCCTCATCAAGAATCTGGTGTCTGAAGAGGACATCGACAGGTTCAGGTGACTATCAGAAACTCTGACAACTGCAAAGAAAATAAAGCTTTTCTCCCAGCGTATAAGCATAAAAACATCGCTGTTAGTAACTGTAGTAACTGAACTACAATTTACTGTGTTAAACCAATTACTGAGAACCGCAAACTCAGTAAACATTAAGTGTCTTTAAGGATATTATTATCTTATTGTATATTTGCACCAAATTACCTGTAGATGTGTTGTGAGGTGCTGAATGTGATCTGTGTGTTCTTCTGTGTGTGCGTTCCTCAGGAAAGAGTTTGAACGGATCTGTCGACAGGAAGTGACGGTTCCCGGTCTGATGGTGATGAAGGATTTGGCGATCGCTAAGTCAGAGTTCGTTCCGGATGAGTCGAGTGAGTTTGGAAGGTTATTAAAACATTTCCAGCCACCAAGAGCTGCAGACCAGATGCCCAGACTCATGTCTGTGTCGTGATTTTAACTTGATGAAAACTTAAAACAACAACTTCAGAACCAGTATTTAGCGTAACTCCATCAGCTGTTTGTAGTAAACACACCGCTATACACTGCTGTTTCTGAGCAATACATTCAATGCCGACGTACAATCTCAGGCGGACATCAGCAAGACTTGTGTGACTATTTGACTGCTGATTGTGATTTATTGGTTTGCAAACAACGGTGGACAAGAGAGGAGCAGTCGTAGGAAAAACACCTGACATCCTCCAGTTAAAGCCAGTTGCCTCTACTTAGAATCCACGTAAGAGATCCCGATCTCTGGAGTGGGAACACATATCATTCACAGTGCAACTGTTGATGCAACTGTAGAGGTTACAAACATTTGGCAGAAGCTTTTGTTCCAAGGACACACAGTCCTTTGATTTATTGGCAGGAGCACTGTGTAAGCCGCACCCACATATGATGTGAAAAATACTGTATACCAGCAACAAATAATCCATGTGAACAAATCTTTCCAAGGCTAAGGATAACATTTATGAAGAAAAAAAACGACTCAGCCCCAAAGTAGCTGAATATTTCTGAATAAAGTTCTTGACATATAACAAATATGTTCCACTTTTTCATAACTAACAAGCAGACATAAACCAGAACAAATGACAAGGGACCAGGAAGAATCAAACAGAACACATGTAACATCTAAATGGGAAACAATGAGCTAGAAACCAGATCTAAGAACTAAGACACAGAACCAGGACTACGCACTAAGACATAAACTTAGAACTAAGATAAGAATAGGAAAGAGACAGAACTGGTAAAGACTAAACATAAGAATAAACTAGGCCGCACAGAAGAAACACAAAACCCCAAACCATGACAACAGACTTAAAACAGGAAAAACATGAACACAAAACCAAAATCCTAAGAGAAACACTGAATGTAAACACAACTTTAAGTGTTTACATGAAAACGTGACAGGGTACCTTTTAAGTAGTAAATATTGAGAGGAAATTAATTAGCCACAATTCTTCTGCAACATGGCATAAAAAACCCTCTTGATATTGAGATTAGTCTGATTTACATGAATCATGGTCAGAACAAAGACATTTCCCACCATTAAAAAACAAACAGGATTGTTTCTTTAGTGTTTTCAAAAACAGATTCAGGTGTTTTTGAGATGTTTCTAATGTGTCTGTTCCAGGTAAGAAGACGTCCCGTCACCCGATGCATCAGGATCTGCATTATTTCCCGTTCCGCCCAGCAGACAGGATCGTCTGCTCTTGGACGGCAATGGAGAAAATTACCAGGCAAAACGGCTGTCTGGTCGTCCTGCCGGGGACACACACTGGCACGCTGCAGGAGCACGACTACCCCGAGTGGGAGGTATAAAAACACACACACACACACACGCCAAATTCTACAGGAAGCATGATTACACATGCAAGGACGTGTACACACACATACACTGTCTTGTGGGTCCTCAGGGTGGTGTAAACAAGATGTACCATGGAGTGCGTGACTATGATCCGCAGCACCCCAGGGTGCACCTGGAGATGGAGAAGGGCGACACCGTCTTCTTCCATCCACTGCTGATCCACGGCTCTGGCATGAACCAGACACAGGGCTTCCGCAAGGTACTACGCTACCCATTTCTTAAAAAAAACTAGCCCCATACTTTTTTATGCCCTTATTTTCCGAGTTACAATAAGCAAATCATCGATTTAAAGATGACTGTGTGTGTGAATGTGTGTAAATGTGTGTTTCCAGGCCATCTCCTGCCACTATGCCAGCGCTGACTGTTATTACATCGATGTGAGGGGAACCACGCAGGAAAACATAGCAACAGAGGTGGAGGAGCTCGCACTCAGGAAGTACACTAAAGGCAACGAAATTACCTTCCAGGTCAGACACTGACTTTCAGAAGGCTTGAAAAGTGTTTGATACGGTTTGGTTTGAATGACAAGTAACAACACTGACATGCAACATAAGAGCATGTCTATGTGGTTACTTGTCATTATCATACAGATAATGAGATTGAGCTCACCAAGCTTGTCAGAGTGATGCATCTTTAGAATCCAGTTAAATATAATTTGGCTAAGAGCAAATGCAAATAGTTGAAATACTTACTACTACTACTACATACTTAGTAGCAAGGTCAGTGGTGACGAGCTATGGGATGTGAGTGGGAAAGAAAGCTGCCATTTCCTGCTTGGTGTATATCATCTTGCTCAAAAAATGTCCATATATGATTAAACTGACTGATGACTGAGCTCTGGGACAGGATGCAGTTGTATAGATGACATGTTAAAGGAAAAAAAAATCATCCTCTTACTTCCAGAAGTTTAGCTTTTGTTGAACTGACCCTTGTTTCCCACACAGGATACCTGGGCTTTCCGAGGCCGCCTGGTTCAAGGAGAGAGGATTTCACTGTAAAGAAGCCACAGACGTGTTACAGAAAGAAAGAAAAAAAACCCCACCATATTATTGCAGGGTGACCAACCACTGAGCTGAAACTAGAACATATTGATATGGTGATGGGTAAGAGGCAACACACAGGCACAGTGTCTTGTCATGCAATCCTTAATCTGCTTTCATAATGGAAGCATGTAATTCTTAGATTACTTAGGTGTTGGTGATTGAGGCTTGATAGTTTATGCTCATTGTAACATTTTGGAAATTTAATATATAGAGAATATAAAGATAGTAAATACTGTTTCAGTAGAAAATGTCAGTTACCTACCATAAACAAATCATTACACTGTCGGTACGAGAGGTAAAGTACTTGACATTCAGTACCCCTCCTGCTACTTGCTATACAGCATTTTACGGCACAAAATGCAGTTGAAATTGCACTTAAAAACAGTGGAATCATGTGAATGCATCTTGAAATGTCTATCAAGCTGTTTAATGAAAATGGAAAGGATATTGCGCCTGTGGTAACTGCACAGAAGCTTAAAGATGAATTTGTATGCTGATTAGGAAAAGTAAGAATTATTATGTGTGAGAGCGAGGGCGAGAGAATAATGAAAGCTACATTTTAAACTAGAGTAGGTGATTTATTTCAATAGCATTTATTTTAACATGTGTTTTGGGAGAGGGTGTGATTTCATTTCATTTCAGTTGGATACTTTCAAAATCTAACTGTCTCTTGCTTTCTGCAACGTTGCCTAACCCAGCTTTATGCAGAAATATGTAAATGATCAGGGTTGAGAGGTATAGCTCTTGTTAATTAACACTAGAGGCCTTGACTTTATAATGTCTTATAAATGTGTCAACATGTTAATTTTAATATAACGGTTTGATGATGAGTGAGTGGATGATGACAATCTTGCTAGGATAAATGTAATATTTTGTTAACATTAATAATAAAAAATGACTGCTAAAACAATGAGACTTAGTTTTGATTTCCTCTAAAGCTTCAGACACAGAAACACACACCTGCCCCCTTTTGACCTGTAATGTCATTTAGTGTAGTGTAATTTCATAACAGTCAGTTATGTCATTATAAATAAAGTCTACAACATAATTAATCTTAAAATGCTAACACTACATTACATACTTTAATCCAATTCATGACATAAGTAATATGTTAAATCAAGTAAGATCTTCAGTTCTATTAACATACATCTACTATATTAACACTATTGTACATTAACATTTGTTTTCTTCTTGTGTTTATACCATGATTTATAGAGTTTTCTGATTTATTGATTGATTGATTTATCTTAAAAAAAAATAAAAAAACGTTCACTTTGTCCAAAGGATAAGGATACTGTGAACTCTGGTGGCCAATGTTAGCACCGACACACCTGAAAACGTAAATCTTTAACTAGAAAACTGTGTTGTGGTTCACGTGGAGTGAGATTGTAAATTGTGCAACCAGAGAGAAAACCCCCCAAAACACAAGGGATTATGGGTAGGAGGATCATCATGCTTGGCACATCAGATAAGACTGGTCTTGTCTGCACTCCTATCTGCAAGAGTCAGATTTGCTTTCAGTCTCTCTCTTCAGGAACGATGCCAGGTTCCAATAATCAAAACAGGTGACTGTCAAGTAAACAAGCTGCTTGAGAGCCATGTGGCTTTAGTTGGCCTAGAATAGGGCAGCCCAACCTAAACAAAAAACCATAAAGCTTCATTAGTTTCTCAGTATTTGTCAGCTGAATTTGCCTTTCACACATGTTCAAACCATACACACTGTTGTAGGTGCATCGGAGAAAGTTGAATAACACTAACAGCAACAGTCACATGTTGGTCTCAGAGGGTTTGGCTGTTTTCAGATGGAGGCCCAGTTATTTCCTGGCTCCCTACAGTGGGACCCTCCGCCCCCACACCTGATCCAGCACAGCTAAGACTGTGTGTGTATGTGGGTGTGTTTAAACAGCGTCTTTGTTCAAACCCAGAGGGAAGCTCTCAGCTCTTAGTTTCATTAAGAAATGCAGGAAATTCATTCACGTGCAGGACGGCAGAAATGTTGGAGTCTTTGTTACAGAAGGTGGTGGCCTCACACTACACACATACATACATACATTTAAATATATACACCTGCACGCGCACACGCAGTCACATAGATGTACAGCTGCACACACAGCAAATAGTTTCTCACACTCAGGTCTAACTGCAGGCTAATTTGTACTGCTAAATGTTTCCCGTACTCCAGATCTGTTGTCGTCTGTGCCCAGTTTCCTTTGGAAGAAACTGAAAAACATACAGATTTCACTACAATTTTTTATAAAGGACTAATCCCACACTCCTCACAGTCAGTTCGATAGCTCGCAGCACAATGTAGCATTGACCACAGGTTAGTGCAATAGACCGTGACCATGCCTACTTGGAATGATACTGAAAGAGTCCAGGACAGCATCGAGATATTGCCACTTGCACACACCGGCTGTAAGGGAAATATACGTCATTCATCTAGAAAGAGCAGGTCTTTAAATTCTGTTATTAAATAGTGTTATAAAGTGGGATAGTTTTGTAGTACGTACACATTATCCATGCAGTGTAAAAAATATTTTCGTTTGAGGAGATTCAGGGTTGATTTCAGCGTCAGACTTTGTCAAGCAATCTTCAAACTGCAAACTGACCTCTTTATCTCGCTCAATACAGTTCAAGCTTAGTGGACTTTGGCCAGCAAACTCAAATTTAACCCGTGATACAAAGAAAATACACAAATCACGGCATCCCTCTACAGACAGCTAACATGGAAGACTGCATGAACTTCATCCACAACTGCAACAGAGCCATTACATAAAACTATTATTTGATTTGATATTATTTGATGTCCTTGTCCTCTCTCTTTGAAAAAAGGGACTTTGTGGCCCTGTCTGCTGGTATGATTGCTTAATGTCTTACAGATGTTACCAAAGCAGCAGAGCAGCCTCAGTTACCTCAGGTTATAATCCATCCTGAGCTCATTTTTCTCTCTCAGAATTAGAAACATCTTGACGAGACTGACAAGACTTACCTGTTGCAGATTGCTTCTCAATTCTAGATTCTGCATAAAAATACTGTTAAGACAGAGAAATAATATGATCAACTGTTTATAGCCATAACAAGCAGCTGTTTTCAGCAAAAAAGCTCTGGTCCACACAGTACAATACCTGCCCAGCACTCAACAGCAGACAGAAAAAAATGACTAATTTTTCATTTTAGCTGACACTTTTATCCAAAGCGACGTACAATTGCTATATATGTCAGAGGTCGCACGCCTCTGGAGCAAGTTGATAGATGTGGCATGTGTCTTATCCACTGCGTCACTGCCACCCCAAAATTAGTGACCAGCCTGTGAACATAGTGGAGGGTTTGCAGCTAAAGAGTCTGATCATTTACTCAAGAGGTGGTGTAGACCAAAACAGAGCTAAAAGGAGAATAAATATTGACCTTCCAGTCATAAGGTGACCTAAAACACAGCTCTAAATGAAAGTCAGTGGCCAATTAACCAATTAATGAAGGTTTAAGTATTTAAAGAAAGTCTTCTGCTGCCCTCTTCTTTTAATTCACCTTACCCCATCACTCCTCTGTTTTCATCTTCTTGTTCTCCCTTGAGGAACTGAAATTCCAGTAGCTTCCCTCCCCTCCCTGAGCCTGTCTCTTACTCTTTCTCCTCCCACTCTCCCTGCCTCTGCCACCTTCCTCTCTTTCCCTCCCTCATCTTTCTCGCCTCTCTCAGTTCAGTGCAGTTAGGTGTGCTGATACGTCCATCAGAGTTCTTACTTTTCTCTCTCAAGATGTCCTGGACTCAAATCTTTGTGCTCTCTTCACTGACCACCCTCCTCATCCTCACCTGTAAGTACCTTGTCTGTTCGGGGGGGGGGGGGGGGGGGGGGGGGTATTTCTGGATTTTAAGGATCAGTGTGAATCCCACAACTCTGTTTTCACTATGAGATATATGTCCAGAGGACAGCTGTGACCCAGACCAATCACTGAACTACTGGGTGGTATGGATAATGATGACACTGAGCAACACAAATTTCACTTGAGCCTTGCCAGATCACAGTGATTAAAGTGAAATTTGATAAATAGCTTCACAAGGCAAGACATTTTATAATTTATAGCAATTATGACACATTATGGTAAATTATGGTATGACTATTTTGATCCTGTTTCAATCTGCCACATCGATAATTTGTAAAGGCACAATTTTGGCCCACACAATCAGTATATTAATGACGACAGAGGTCCTGTAATTCTAATCTTCTCTTTTCTGTAGTCAGTTTACATGTATTCTTTGTTTGTAGTTTGTATTTGAAACATGATTTATAATGGTAAACTAAAGCTGCACCTCGTAGAGGTTTAAATGGTTTTTTTGGCACAAACATCAAACCCTGGCTATCTATTATGTAGATACAGGAGATTTCCACGGTGTGCTTTGTCATTAGGATACAGAAATAAGCATGTTTGAATTTTCTATTTTTCCAGCTCTTAAAGCTAACTCCTTACTAATAAAAGGCCATAATATTGAGACATTTTTGACTACATATTTTAAAATTCTTATACACATGGACAAATCCTTCACACATTTAAAGATTAGTGTATACATTTACAAATCTGAGTATGCACTTACTGAGTGAGTTTTACATGCTTTGGTGCAAAGACTGGAAATGATAATTTCTCCCATTCCTCATAGTTTCCAGTGTGGACAGCGCAGCAGTCCGGGACGATTCAAAAGCAGGCGATACTAAAGGTGATACCTGTTCAGTCCTTCTAACTGTTTCACATTTCCTTGCCCCACATGTCCTGTATATGTGACTTTCACCCTCTGACTTTTAGGGGCAGCACCACAGGTGTTCATGCCCGAGTCGGACGCCTCCAACTTCTTCAAGCGCCGCAGTCGCCGCTCACCCCGATATTACGCTGAGCTCCAAGGTAAGTTCTTCAATATCTGTTTAACGTGTCTATTAAGATAACAGTATTTGGCTGCTGTTATCCGTCAGGAAGAAATAGTTTTGAGCTGTCTGCTTAAGGGCTGTCCATCATCTCTCTGGCACAAACCTAGCAGGTCAGGATTAAAGTGGTTGGTCTGTGGTCTGCAGGTGGGGGTGATGGGAGTATATTTATTTATATTTGGTGTTATATGTGGTTGATTTGCCTCAGTGTTGCCTAAGTAGTTTATGTGGCCACACTGTGGGCAGTCTAAAATATGGTATGTTTGGCCTCCCATAGGCACTTGTGAATATGAATGTGTGTGTGTGTGTGTGTGTGTGTGTGTGTGTGTGGGTGGGTGTGTTGGTTCAATGGTTTGTAGTTGGACTCTGAATATGATGTGGCTTGAGGTTTTGACTGCAAGCTGTGAAAGTTCAAGAGAGAAATAGAGAGAGAGAGAGAGAGTAATGGAAAGTAAAGCAGGTGTTGTTAATCTATACAGTAGCAGCTTTTAAATCTGACACACACACACACACACACACATGCTGGAGGATGCAGAAGGAGTCACAGGGTAGTATGGAGCAGGCTCTCCCTCTCTAAGTTTCTCGGTACAATAAGTTCATTCTCCCACTGCCAGCATCCTGTGCGACACACAGTGCCAGCGCACCTCATACCAAATGAACACACAATGAGAGGTGTTTCAGGACAATCCAACAAACACACAGGAATTTATTTTCATACTCTTATCACCAAATTAACTTTTCAAAAGCTAAACACAGGATTCCTTTACTCATTTACGCTTTTTGGCAAGCTAGCCAAAAGGCTGCTGACAAGAGTGATTTTTATCTTTTCGGAAAAGTATGTCCTTGTTAAATCATCTCTTTTTAGAAAAGTGGGCCCTGGTCCTGGACAAACAGCCCTACATTCCTGGGGAAAAAAATAAAACACTTGGAAAAGGGCTGATTATGTACCTTGCCAGCTCGGTTCATGGGAACCTGAGGGGGCAGCTGTGTGAGTGTTTGAGAGGACTTTTTATAAGGCTTTTCTTTTTGTCAGAAAAGTAATACACATGTTACTTAGGCAGAATGCAGTGCTCTCACAACTGATCATACCTAGGCTGAATTGCATGCACAAGTGTTTGAAATCCTTCAGCACTGCCTAATCCTGAGGATGACATGTTGTCATTTGTCAGCCAATTTTATATTTCGTTATATAATCTTCTTATTCTGATTGAGTCTAAGATACAAAAGACCAACATTTACTGAGGGAAAGGAGATATGTCCTTGCTGCATTGCTCTATTATTCAAAAGACAACACACAAATCAGGTATATGTATTATTTCTAACAGATGCTGGGTGATTGCATAACCACATGTGACAGCTCAGTGCAAATATTCTTACAGCCATCGTTGTCTTTTCCAAACTTCTTGTGATTTTCCCCTTTATGCCTTTCCTTTACTTTATAAGCTTTTATTCTGTGATCAAGGTGGTTTATATGATTTTAGAAAATAAAATTTGTAGTATCAAAATACGTGCTAACAGGCAAGCAGTTTTACATGTGAAGTTAGTGCGAATGTGGATTAGAGAGCCATGTTTCCTACAGAGCAAGTAAACCGCAAGTCATTGGTCTATTCGGAGGGAAATTAAGTTTGCGGAATGGATGCAGGTCTGTGTTTACATGAAAGGTTGTGATGTAATCCTTACCCTTTTCACAAGCTTGTTGTGATTCAATTAAAATGAGGGGGCTAAAATAACAACACAGACAAGGTAGTAATGTCTAATGTATACAGTGGTGGTCTTGTACCGACATGGTGGGGATGTTTGGTTTTGTACAGCGAGGGAGCAGGAGGGAGGTGTAGGTGTTTACACAAATTTCTAATACATTACGGTAATTGGTATGGCTTGACCACATTTATTTGCTTTAAGCACCTCACTAGACCCAGTATACACTTATATAAATCTAATAATTGTCTAAACATGAGGTACTTAAGAAAATATGACATATGATAGATAAATAAAAACATCAACATAGTCAACAAGACTGTACCACCATGCAACCACGCTCTGAGAGGTTGCAGGCCTACTGAGGCACAGTTGTGCTTTGAGCTGAATGCTACCGCCAGTGTGCTAACATGCTCACCATGACAATGCTAATGTGCTGATGTTAAGCAGGCATAATGTAATAATAAACCATGTTTATTGTTAGCATGCTAACATTTGCTAATTATTAATGAATAAAGTGCAGCTGAAGGTTATTAGAATGTCAATGTTTTGGTTTGGTTTCATTCATAAAGTATTGAAATACTGAAATTTTAACCTGGTAATGATGCTTGGTGAAAAGTCAGGGGGATCACCAGAGTTTTTACAATTCATCCTCCTGTCTCAGTTGTTGAGACATTTCACTCAAAACCACAAAAGGCATGGTGGAAAAGTCAAAGGCTAATTAAAGTCCTTAGGTTTTTTTGAATGTCTGTACAAAATCTAATGCCAATATCTGGTAGAGATTTCACAGGATAAGTGAAAACTTTCACCATCTAGTGAGGCTAGAGGAAAGGTCAGGGAATCACCAGTCATTAGGATCCATCCTCTGGGACTATGCATGTCCGTACAAAATGAAAATCAGTTGGGTTGTTTACTGGTAGTAGCAACACCTGTTTCATCTATAATGTATCATGTGAGTTGGTGTATACGGGTAAAATCTTTGGCTTACCTTTCAGCTTTCCTTTCCTTCTCCCCCCAGCCGAGCAGAGGGTAAGGCTTGCTGTGAATGAGCGGAGGAGGGAGTACAATGAGGAGCAAAGGGACGAGTACGAGAACTACGTTGAGGAGGAGCGTGATGGTAAGACCTGGATGGAGCATAACATTAATTCCTGCTTCTGGGAAAAAATAGAGAAATAACCCTCCATCAAACCCTCAGTTTCACCCCTTCCAGAGGACTGAAAATAATAATAATAAATAAGTGTATTGAGACACTGAATGGAACAGAAAGATGAAGCATAGGGTCTTTGTATCAGTAAACACAAGCTAATTTAGCAAGTCTGTGTCATGTTGTGAGGGCTAACCTTAATTGGTCCTTACGAAAAACCTGACATTTGCTTGAATGGCAGTCATCACGTGAGGGCTCACTAGAGAGAACACATTGAGGGAAAAGAGAGTTCTACTTTGGCTCTTGAATGAACTTCACGACACGCACGAGCCTCTGGACCACAGCAGAGTGCCTGAGACTCCACACCAAATCAAAGTGTCCATTTGTGGTCGACCCCAAGCTGACAATCTTCCCTGCGGTTGTCTGTCCACTGTGATATAGTTGCAGTGACGGTTTCTAAACTAAGAACTGCTAACCATAAAGATGTGACTGGGTTTTATATGTAAGATACACAGTGTTTTGGGTGGTTTGGGTCACGGTGTTATTACAGGCAAACAAAAAGATCTCCACCAGGTCACGGAACACACATAGGGTTTTGCAGAGACTGTGTCATTTCATATTACATAAGAGCAAAATGTCAAAACTCTTATCTTTCATATATAGTCTTTAGTCTGTCTATAGATTGTTAGTGCAGGAGAAAGAACAAAAATACCTCTATTATTCGGTATTGAAAGCATACATAGATTATTCCAAGATGGTTCCCCCCATTGCTAGCCTTGTAGTCACAGCAGTTGAATGGAAATCTAGGCTAAAGTAGCAAATTTCATCATGTCACACATTTGGGCCAGCAACAAGTGAAAACAAACACTAACAAAGTGTATCTATTCGCTGAATTAAGGTCTATACGATAAGATGCATACGATGTATGAAGCTTTACTAACACTAAAGCATACACCTAGCTAAATACAAGAGCAGTAGTTTTTACCCTAATAAGGACAAGAATTGGTCGTCTCTGGTTTTAAATACATTTGACTTAACCTGCAATAAAATATACCATTGACATAGTATCACCTTAAAAAGTGGAGAACTTGTTAGTAATCAGTTGCCACATCCAGCAGACACAAAGCATCATTAGCTTTCATTTGGAATCGTGTTTCAGGCCTCCTGACAAATGTACGTCCAATATTCACTTTACTTTTAGCTCTGTTTTGGTCATCCCTGAGGTAAATATCTGGCACTGGACTTGCTTTATTCTCCAGCTTGTCGCTAATTTTGTCTGTCTGCTGTTTGGTGCTGCGCAGGTAGCATAACAGTTACAGCGAGTCTATCTGAGCCGCAGCAGTAAGAGTGAACCAAAACAGTAAAGTTGTGGGCTTGAAAACCAAAACATTTTGCTAAAAGACGCTATAAAGCTCCGCAACACTGACGGGAACTGGGTGATGATTCTTAATCCTATTACATAAGTATTCATATGATCCTTTGTTAACATAAAAATATCTAAAGCCACTTTAACTTTTTTATCCACAGAGCAGAATGAGAGATCGAGGGAGAAGAATGAGCAGTTGCGCGAGTTTCACTACGATGGCCTTTATCCTCGCTACCACTGGTTCCACTGAGCTGTCGCATGGAGGGCAGCCCCTCTCATTGGAGCAGTGCAAATACTGCCATAAGCTTTAACCTGTAGCAGAGCAGAGATTCCTTACACTTTGAGGGCTTAAGTTCTCTGTATTTTTCCCTACTTTAATAAAGGTTTTCTTTTCTCTTTTTTTTTTTATAAAAATAAATTGTGCAATATGTCTCCATGTCAATATGTAAAAATATGTTTAAAGTGTAGTTTCTGTAAGCTACACTTTACCATATAAAATGTAGGTTATATCTTCTGCATGCTTGTTTTTACTCCCCTTTTCCCCCATGTACATACAAGCTATGTCCTTTAGGTCAGCCTGAGGCATTAGCAGAAATAAAGCAACATATTAACAGCTGACAAGTTTTGTCAGAGGGGTAGCTTTATTTTTGCAAAGAAAGTGACTTTATGTCTTTAAGCTGAAATGGCAAATAAAGATGAGTCCCAGTCTGATTCCCAGACCACTGATGTGTTTTAAGTCATGCTAGCACTGTCTGGTATTTGGAGTATTTAAAGGGAGGAAGGAGGTGTGGAATAAAAGAGAAGATGGAGTGAGCTGCAGAAGTCATCAGGCTGAAATGAACATTCCAGGGTGGAAATATTAAACCCAACCTGGGCAAAGGAGAGACAGGAGGACAGGAGGTGGGGGGGGGCAAATGAAAGCCTCAAAATGATGCGGCATGGCACTCAGTACTTGCTAATCACACAGCTTCAAATCCAAAAGCCTTATTTTATCTCTATACTGCGACTCCACCACAGACATTTCCTGTTCAAGGCCATGTGGATTGGCTCGCAGACTTGAGTGAGCGCCACCTGGCATCAACAGTCATCACAGTAACACACGGAGTGTGTTAGATGATGTTTTTGTCCATCCTGATATAGGAGACTCATTCAGATCCTACTGTTAAAGAAATATGAAACGGTGGCTTCTTAAACATAATAACGCCCTGCTGATATAATAAAGAAGTGCTTAGTGTTAAGTATGATTTTATATAAGAAATCTGCCTCATCTTTATATCTCAATGGGTTCCTACATTTCCCAGGGTACCTTTCACCAACCAAAGCAGGAAAAGGCTGCTTTAACCACACACTCTTTCTCAAACTTCATCTGCCTTCACTGTGTGTTGCACGATGTGGGTGAATTATAGGATTTCTAGAGTTTCTAAGTCCCGAGATTCTGAAAAAACAAAATTATGTTAGCTAATGTTTTAGATGGCTGAAAGTTTTTCTGCTCTTAGATGTGACTGTGCGGCCCATGGGAAGAAGAAACAATCAACAAACACCTGCAGTAAATTGAAAAAAATAGTTAGTTCATCACTGCATAGTATTGCCAATATGTTTAAGCTTTTTTTTTTTTCCAAGACTTGCCTTTTCACAATTTTTAGAAGATAGTTTTGTTAAATATAGCGTATAAGTTTAACATATGCTAACTTGTCATTATTGTAGAAAGTTAGCTACTTTTCATGAAATGCCCTTTCTTACTCAGGTATTTCATATTGTGTCACCCTCTGGATTTTCTGATGATCAAGTTTACTACGCACTTCTGCGATTTATTACTAAACTAATCTGCTTTAATATTTTTCTATATGTTCACGTGAGGAACATGCAGTGCGGTTTTATTCTATATATTAAAGGCAATAAGTATTTGAATAAATAAAGATAATGTTGGGTCAAATATTACTAACAACATTAGCAACAGCTCCATTATTTCCCAGTTAGCCATGACAATGAGCCAGCATGCACCACCATTCATTCTATTTACACCTGTGCTTTTCCTACTGTGACATGTCAGGTCATTTTGGAAAAACAGTGTCAGTCACTACCAACAGTCAGGAAATCAGTCACTACATTAGAACATGTTTGCCATCATACTATTAAATGATTCCATACTTCACAGATCTGTACCACTGTGTATGCTCAGCTATTGCAAATTATTACTTTAATCATCTTATTTCCAGCAGATCCAATATTATCACAGACATTCAAATATCCATAATTCATAAGAAAACTAAAAAAACATTATTCTTACAAAATGCAAAAAATGCTACAAAAACACTTATATTACAAAAATAAAAACAAACGTTTCCTCAACAACCAGCTTGGTGCAATCATTTCATGCTGCTGAGGAACTTTCCGTGCTCCTCTCCTCGAGGCTGGAGAAGCTCTCGACCGATCTTTGGTCCAGCTTTCTCCTGTAATAAAACATAAAGGGCAACATCAGGTCTGTTTTCTTTCACAAGAACAAAAAGTAAGAGGTAATCTATGAGTCAGAAAGAGAGAGTTTACCTTCAGCATGCCATCACGCTCCCACTTAAACAGACCACAGTTACTGAAATGATAAAACAACATAAGTTATGTTTTGTCTTTTGGATGTATATGGCATATTTCAATTATGCAATAATTCAGTGTTTCCATAACCAGTAGGAGCCTTGAAAAACTTGAGGGACATTAAGAGTTTAACCTGCAGTGTTTGTTGGGCAGTCTGTCTAGAGCGATGGCTCTCTGTCCACAGGGACATTTGAAGAAACGTTTCATAGCATCGTGCCACCGCAGATCATGATTCTGCTCCACACAACGATCCGCCGGCTTGAAGTAGGTGTAACTACACTAGAAGCAATAGAACATGGGAAATGACAGCTTACTTTTCCTACTTCTAACTGGGAGACAGACAGTGTGCACTAATAGTCTGCACCATGCGCACATTTATAATTATTACACCAAGGTAGCAACATTATCTTGAAGAACAATTTTATAAATGTTTATCAACATCCTAGATAGCACATTTATATAGTTATACATTGACATATCTGAATCGAATGTTTGAATTTAACTCAGTACCTTTTTACAGGTGACAGCGCGACATTTCATCTCTCTGATGCCCTTCATCTTCTCCTCTAACTGCTCCTTCTTCACCAGGGCATCAAAGTAGCGCTCTTGCAGTTGGTACTCCGCCTGAGAAAGAGGAGATTCAGAAAGAAATGTCTCAATTTCAGACACGCTTTGCAATGTTTGTAGAAATACAGCTGGATTCACAGAACACAAAGGAGAAACAGCTGCACATCAAAACGGCTTACGAAAAACGAGTGTTAATAGATGCATGCAGTTAAGGGCCACTTGTCGTACCGCTTGTAGTACAGCCCCGTGGAGAGATTTGGCATTCAGGATCTTTTGAAACTCCTCTGACTGGATGTAGAGGAGTTGATCTCGCTTCTTCTTCTGGGCCGGTTCCTCATCCTCATTGGTTGATTCACCTGCACAAGTAAAATGATGTTATAACAAGCAACAATAAAGACATTTTATGTATGATTTAGCTGCTTAATCCTACATTTTACTGTTCAAATCAAGGGTTTTCAAACTTCTTCACATTCACCAGTGAGCTCTTTGTCCACTGTCATGAAAACATTTCTTTTAACTAAATAATTTTCTTATATGAACTGGTACAAGTGGGCAAACAATTAGAGAGGTAACTAAATGATCTGCAATGCTTCTACCATATACTGCTGTGGTTGGAAATCAGGTGTGGTTGAATATTGATGGCTAAAAAAAAGTTTCTAAATAATAAATAGATTATTTGTATACTGCTATGTTGTTCAAAAATAATGTTGAAATTCAATAATAAGAAGTAAAAGATTTTTTTTTGAGGAAGTAATATAAAAAACGATCACATCTAAACATGAACGTGAAGTGTGTTTACCCGTTGGTGAGGTCAGATTCTTCTCCACTCGGGCGCTGATCTCGCTCTCGTTACTCCTTTTCCTCTTCACAGCGTTGGGGTCTTCCTTTTCAAGCCCCGCCCCTTTGGCTCTCAGCTTCTTCAGAGCAGCCAGCTTGGTGGCAGATAGGCTGAGAGCGCTGGCGGCTGGTGCCGGGGGCGGACTGCTGTCAAAGAAGAGGATGTCGTCACCCTCGGAGAAGCCTCGCCCCAGGGTGGGGGTGTGGGGAGCTGCTGGGCTTTGGGTGGCCTTGGGGACCTCAGAAGCTGCTTTTGGGGACATCAGACCAACCCGGCTCAGTGAGGATGACGACCTGGGTCCAGGGCGAGCTGAGCTCTGCAGCACCCTCTTCTGGATCTCGTCTGCCCTCCGCCGGCGGTTCTGCAGAAACTCCCGCTGCTTCTGTTTCTGCTGCTTCAGCAGGTCTGCGGCAGTGATGGACTGAACCGGAGCTCCAGCTGCATCTTTTGAGACTGAGGATGGTTTATTAACAGGTTAATAAAGGCAAAACATAAACACAAAGCTACTGTCTGAGGCCAACCCTAGCTTTAAATATTGACGTCCTGTAAAGGATGTCTTAAATACCAATTATTATGATTAGCTAGAGCGGTCCAAAGCACAGAGATCTTCCCAGGTCATTTACCTGACTGGCTGCCCCGTGCTAAGTGCTTCTTCAGCTGCAGAGCTCCGGGTGTTGGCGCTGACAGCAGGCTCTTAAATTCATTTGAACAACCTGAAACTTCACCGGACTGCACAGCTTAAAAAAAGACAAAAAACACAAACAAAAAAAATGTTTAAAAAAGGAATTCCTATTTTTTTTTTTTTTACTTTTACTCTGTCCACAGTCACTGTCATAAAACGTGCGTAATTAACTTAATTTAGTTAAGTGTACTGAATGTATTGTAGACAGACATTTTTGTTTGCTGTGAAACCCTAACATTCTTCAAAGAGACAAGACATAGGGAAAGAGGGTTAAATTCTTGATATTTAACAGTGAAAGAAGATATGTGGGGAGATGTGGTCCTTGAAGTACATGAGGTCAGGCTTAGTATAAAAATAAACAGGACATACAACAGGTGTACAAAGCATAATGGGAGTGATGAAAACTCAACCTAGCTCCTTTTTAAAATTTCACTATTTAACGATTACTCCCGCTACTTTTAAAACCCTCTGCTGCTGCTATTATTATTACTACTACTCCAGCTCCACCGCCTTACAGTGATAGATGTGCTCTTTTCGTTTTGTCTAGTGTCAGTTACTGTGTTGTGTATGGTGACTTATCTTGTAAGTTGATTATTCCAATTTTGTCTGAATCGTGAGAAACGCCATTTCGTTCATTTGTATACCCAGTATGTGGATGAACGGCAATAAAGCGAACTTGAACACCGTGTCAGGCCAGTAAAAATGCCTTGCAGGGTTTAGTGGAAACTGAGTGGTTTGCGCAGGCGAGTGTGCATAGGAGTCATTTACGCTCGGGACATTTTCCCACCACTTTTAGAAATGGCTGATTTTGTTCCCATCACTTTTTTAAAGCATAATTTGTTTGCATATTAAGAAAACATGCAATGCAAATTTTCCATTCTCTCCCTTTGAACGTGACAAAAGAGGAGGGAAAACTAAATCATGCCTACATATGTGTTGCCTCAGCAGAGATGATATTACATGAGAAAAGTTGATCTCCAGGAGAAACAGATCTGAAAGCATTATATACATCTATTATATTTATATATTTTGAAATGT